TTTCTGACGTTGGCCACATACACCTCCTCCACATCCCTCTCCACCTCCTGCACCGCTCCCCCCTTGAACTCAGAGCTGAAGTCCTTGGAGACGTAATAATCTATGCGCAGGTTCTCAGTCTGTCGCCTCACTGTCTGTCCTGTGGACCTGAAACGCAGAGAAGCCCCGCATGTTTCCTTAAACGCCCCAGAGCTGGTGAATTACCCACTGGATTCCCCTGACGACGGGGTCTTACGCTCGGGGGTGCAGGCTGTACGGGGGGGTGGCCACCATCAGGTGACTCAGCACAGACACCAGGATGAGCCCCACGATGGGCAGCAGCTGGACAAACATCGAGAAGCCGCTCTGGAACATGAAGGCAGAAAATATAAGGGTGTGATGGCCCAGTGAGGCACACAATGATGGCCCAGCAAGGACCAGGATGGCCCATGATTATGGCACAGGGGAGCACGATTATAGCCCAGGGGGGGCCCGCGATGGCCCATGGCAGCACTTACGTCTCCTCGGTTCTCATGCCTCTCTTGGTATGTGTGGTTTCCACGGTGACTGTGCTGCGCTCTGCCATTGGAAAAGGTGTGGGCTGCCGCTGGAGGGAAGGTCACAACATTCACTGAGCACGTGGGGGGGCCTCTTGGGGGTAACATGATCTACTGCTACTCATCCTCTGTCACTCAGTGCTTTACACTCCTATATAATGTAACGCGTATTTTTATCTATATTTATACTATTGACTGTGCATATACTTATTTTGTGGTGTTTAGAGATAGACATTTGGGGCTAAAACTGGAAGCAAATATGCGTTAATTGTAAGAAGGGGCCCTTTCACGCCGCAGCCCCCTTCGGTTGGCTCCCGAGGCCCCGTGCCCATGCATACATGAGGGGAATCCGCCTCCAAAGAACATGTTGAAGAGGTCCTCAGGGGTGATGTCAGCCTCGAAGCCTCTGTGAAAGTGGAAGCCTCCGGGTGCCTGGGTGGCGCCGGTAGGTTCCTCGGCCCCCGTTAGGTCGTACTGCCGCCGCTTGTCCGGGTTACTCAGCACGGCATATGCATTGCCGATCTCTGCAGGGGAAGGGGCACCAGGCAGGGCTCACCCACATGGGAAGGGGCCTTGCGCGACTCCGTCTGACACAGCCCCCCCACCCCAAAAGATTCCCTCCTTACTTTTGAAGGCTTCGGTTGCCCCGGGAGCATGGTTCTTGTCTGGGTGGAACTTCAGAGCCAGCTTCCTGTAGGCCCGCTTCAGCTCGTCCTCGCTGGACTCCTTGCTCACACCCAGGACTTCGTAGTAGTCCTTACACTTCTTGATCCTGGTGGGGAACAGAACGCAAAGGAACCACTTCAACACACACCAGGATCACGGGTTGGTATGGAGCGCTGGAGGAGCCAGACACAGTGTTTGTTTTTAATGTAGTGCAAACGGTGCACAAAATGGTCTGCACTATTTAGCTTAATGTGCCCACTAAAAAGTGAAGGAAACGTGTCTGCAAAGTGAGAAGCTGCAGTGTTGGGGGGTGCGTGCGGGTTCTCCAGGAGTTACGCTAACTGGCTAAGCCTCACGGAACTTTAGTGTAAAACTGCAACATTGCTATGGATAAAGACTCACTGATTAAGCTGCATTTTGACAGCATGTTTTCGTTCAGCAGAAACACAAATAAATGTGAGCACAACTTATTCTGAGATCTCAAAATAGCAAATTGAGAGCACAAAAAAAGTAAATCATGCCCTCGATTTAGTATTTCGTGGGCATGTTAAACTAAGTTGTGTGCATGATTTAGCACATTGTGCACAAGTAATTTAAAAAAGGCAGTTGCTAGATTGCAGGGCTCTGTAAATTACAGCCAGGCCTGTAACAGCAGTCAGAGCGCACAGGCGACTGGGGAGTGCAGACCAGGCCCACGGTCCTGCTAGGATCCGTTCTGAGCAGCTTGACAGGGGCCTGACACACTTCTTCAGTTTGATGCAAAACCAACCCCTCCCCCTGGCACAAACTGTGCAACTTGGCTGGAATGTTGCATCTTAACCCCTTAGCTGGTCTAATTTGACCTCTAGGGCTTTGCAGTCATGTGACACAGTTAGTTTTAGATTTCTCATACACTGTGATCCTTTGGGAAAATAACTGGCTGGTTAGGAACCAGATCACATTTAACTAGCACACTTCCGTACCTAACCTTGCAAAAACAGGGCTTTTATATCAAAGAAACATTTCAAATGACTGTACAGAACACCATGATGCAGATCATACCCCAGCGCCTCTATGAAGGGAGCATGGCTATTACATCTTACAGCTTTTACATGTTTTGGAGTTTCCGTCCTCCCCCCGCAAGAAAACGCCTCCTCCTCACAGATGCACTTGCCTCTGTACCCCCTCCACCTGCTCCTGGCTGAAGCTCCGGGCCGCCTCCCCCCCCGCTGCCGCTGCCGCCTCCCCACAGGCCGTGGGCCCGCTGTTCTCCAAGCCGTCGGCTCTCCGCCGACGGTGAAGGCCGTTCCCAGCTGTGCTGCCATTCTTCACGAGAGACTCGAGCAGCACTGGAGAGACAAACACCTCGAAATGGTGAAGGCAAGTCTTGCTACCAGCGAAACAGCAGGGAATGTGTGTATGATCAAATCATTCGGCTTACAAACACTAAAACCAATGTAACAGCAAGACTAGTGTCTTGCAGAAAGGGACCTGGGAAATAACAGCAACTTCTACATAATGACTTTTCAAGAGTTTCCAAAAACTCCACTGGAAGACACAAGAGATACTGTCTCTGGTATAAGGGTCTCAGCTCTCCATGGCAGAAGGGGGGGACAGGAGGGACAGACAGGGAGAGAGGTGGGGACGGGACAGATGGGGGGGG